AAGACCTAAAAGTCTCCAATATCATTTACACCTCCCTTTGCTCAAAGCATCACGTAAATGACATTCGTGTACTATTATTTACATATGATATATTACATGCCATTAGTTGTGGGGAATTACATTCTTTTTATTATCGAAAATTTTTTCACTTTATTGAACTAAAATAATACTATAAAAAAATGTTACTATAGTGAATTGTTTTTCTAAAATGTAGAAGTTATATCGTTACACGAAATTTGATTATACATGGAGCAAAAAAATTAGGTGTCCTAAATGTCCAACAAGCAGATACCAGTCACATCTTTAAAGTTTGACCCGACTATTAGTAATTATTAGGACTACAATTTAGTAAACTGTATTCTTCCAAACGTTGAAACCAGGAACTAGGTAGGATACGTACGTGCGATGCAACATCGTGCCCAACTACCACTACGCAGCTAGCTAGTTCCATTCCCATCATATTTTTGGATTGTTTTCCTTTGCTGTTGTGGCTGTGATAGCACCGACTAGTCAACCGAATAACCGATACTAAAACTTCAATCCATGAATGATTATCGTGTTTATTATAAAAAAAAAATAGATGAAGTAGCGAAATTTAGATTACCTGGCTAATTATAGTTACGAGTGGCATGCTCATCGATTAATTTTAAGAGGATATACTAGTTAACAAACTTTTTACCTCCTTGCACACTTAGTATGTGTGTTTTGTGTATGTGTGTTTTGTGTGTTTTGTGTGTTTTGTGTTTTGTGTATGTGTGTTTAGCGGAATTTATTTCATTTTTTAAGTATGTGTGTTTTGTGTATTTTTTGTATTGGGAATATATAAAAATATGTATTGAAAATGTAAAAAGGTATGTTGGAATGAGATAGTTATTATTTTAATATTATGAAAAAACTATCCAAAAAACAAAATAAACAAAGCCTTATTTATACAAAAAATCACAAATTAAATAGGACTGAAAGAAGACGTTGTATTCAATAGACTTTTTATACGTAGTATAGAAAATAAAGTCTATCTAATGCTAACTAGGTGCTTGTCCGGGCATTGTCCGATCTATTTAAAATATTATATTTTAAAATTATATATAAATAGTAAAAGTATTTTTCAACTTTAACTCAACTTGTTATTAAATTTTAGAAATAATAAAAGAATTATTTATTTATATCATTAATGTCTTATTCTATTAATTTTAATTGATTGATTAAAATTAAGGACAAGGAAAGTTAACACAATTAAAGATTGTAAAAATTATTTTTTTTCCCACAAAACTACGTAGTTTTTGTTGGGCGGGAAACGGATGCACGAGAACGTGACACTTCAACCTTTTTTTTTTTCTCAAGGACTATTGTTTTAATAGGATATATATATACTAGATGTTTGCCCGGGGCGAATGCCCGGGTGCCACCTTTATTTTTAAATCGATTAAATAAAAAAACAAATCATTTTTAAAAGAATAAAAAACAGAAAAATAAAAAATCGATTAAAAGGACAGGAATTGAGTTACTACACATAAACCTATGTCGGGGTTTACAACAGTTAATTTACAACAATTAACTTATACCCGGATTTACACAACTCATAAACTAATATCTACAACAAAAGAATAAAAAAACAAATCATCTTTAAAAAATCAAATTTCCTTCCATGACCGATTCTTTTTCCTCTTTTGTAGAAAAAGATAAATTGATAAATGATGTCAGATTTTAAGTAGTTGATTTGAAGGCCTCGGTCTGAGAGAGGAGCGAAATGGAAAAGATCATTTTAGATTGGGTGGCAGTGTTGTTTCACTTGATTTAAGGAAATTTTCTGACATTTGATTTTATTAACTCAATATTTTTATTTTAAGAGATTACTATATACTTATAATTAATGTATTTTTATGTAGCTATAATTAAGGAATTTATTTATTTATTTATTTCATCCTTTTTTTCTGGTTAGTTAGAGTGCCACATGTCAAAAATGATTTTGTACTGAAAATGACTTTTGGCGGGAAAATTTTCATTGTGGTGATGACACATGTCCTTTTTGTTTGCTGCTTTAATTAAGTACTATAGATATATATTATATAGATTAATCATGTTATAGTTAAAAGAATGGTCCCTAATAAAAACTAACTGTATTCATTTTATATTAGTTGGGGGATAGGAATAATCCCTCACTACATTTGCAGATATTCACCAACGTAATCAGCTTTTCATATAGTGCCGAAAATGGAATTGATCCCATGGTAATTAATATTGTTTATTCAATAGGCATTTTTTCGTTAATTTTATTACAAACTGGATAGTCATGAATAGAAAGAGTATATCTAATACTCTCCTGTCCCAAAATTATTGTTCAGTTTGAGATTTCACTTTTAGTACAATTTAAACTAGAAATAAAAATTCAAACTGGACAATAATTATGGGACGGAGGGAGTACTAATTAATTAAGTTAAATTAATGAAATTATCGATCGCAAATGTCAAAAACCGTAGTATTTCTCACTGGATCTTTTCCTTTAAAAATTGCTACATTATTCAATTAAACGTCAGTGATAATATACCCTCCAAAATATGTCGCGTGATGACAACTTTCGGCATTCGACTGAAATCCCAAAAAAAACTGAATTTGTATTATTTTAAAAGTGAGATTTGCAGTATTTTCATCTTCATGAATAAATATATACTTCCTCCGTCCCATAATTATTGTCCAGTTTGGATTTTTATTTTTAGTACAAATTGAACTAAAATTGAAAATCTAAACTGGACAATAATTTTGGGATGGAGGAAGTATATAGAGATGCACAAAAAGGAACACAATGAACGATCCTTGTTACATCATGAGTGGACAATTCCGATTAGAGTTTGACATCGCCCGATAAATATTTTAACATTTGTTACCTAATTACCCTTATGATTAAAATTAGGTATTCTTTTTTCCGAGCATTGTAATACTACTTTTTAATCACAATTTATCGAAAGCTACATTCGAAAAATCTAGACAGAGTTGTTAATAATACTAATCAAAATGAGGATTCAAAAAGTAATTTATCCAGCCTCCTCCAACATTTCCACCAAATTGCCAAGTTCTATGGAAAGTCAAGCTGAGTAGCTGACGTATCCTCCATCAATACTACTCCCTCCGTCCCAAAATTATTGTCCAGTTTGAGATTTCATTTTTAGTACAATTTGAATTAAAAATGAAAGTCCAAATTGGATAATAATTATAGGACGGAGGGAGTATAAACTTCTTTTTTGGGTTTAGCCGAGATAAAGAATTATAATTTGACGCTTGGCCTTTTAAGCTTTAGGCTGAAAATGAATCTGTTTACCTGTAATCCAGAAGCTTGGATTACCGGAGTTTCTTTGGGGGCCACTAAAAAAATTGGCTCGAATCGTATTTGAAAAATAAAAGCTGTTTAATGGGACCGGGATTATTTCGCTGGTGTCTGGTGGCAAAGTTTAGTCACCAATTTGTATTCGTGTTCTTTTAAAACTTTGATTTCTTGAAATTGGGGTATAGGAATTGATGCAACGAATTTTATTAGTCTTTATTTGTTGTTACGGAATCAATATGGAATAAAAAAAATTAGACAATCTATAGAAAGACCAAGACACGAATAAAACATGTTATAATCAACGTTTTTTTACAGGTAGTCGGGTTTATATAATTTTTTTTCCCCTTCTTTTTAGACTTACGACTAGAGGAAAAAAGACTTACAATCAATATTTAATGTTTCGATTTTTATTTTATTTTATTTTATTTGCGGGAATAAAAATGATTATGAAAAATTTAGTAGTAGTCTGTATTTGGAAGGAGAAAGAGGGCAGACAAATTTTTTTAAAAAAAACTCCTGATTCGACGATGGTTATTATGGAAATTTTTGGATTGTCTAAATGGATTATTTAATTTATATAAACATTAAACATGTTTAATGCCACTAATACTAAATCAAATCTGGAATTAAAATAAAGTATGAATAGACGTTTTTTTTTGCATGATGATCTCTTAGAATGTACTGTGTGTAGGTCAAATACATTTCTTTTTCTGAACTAATTGTTACCTCTTTTTTTTTTTTTTTTGTACTTGTCGCATAAGCATATACACATGAACTGAAAAAATAATGATTAATTAGAATTGAAAATTGAGCATAATGAAACAAAAAAGAGTTTAACACTTCTTTTGGCATTTCAAATAAGATGGTAATTAAATAGAGCTTTGCCCATGCAATATGTGGTCCTCTCTCCCGGCTTTTATTTTGAAAGAGAAATAGCATAGCATATTTTCCAGTCAGTTTCCCATACTAATATTCAAGTTTGCCGTCTATTTTTTTTTCCCCAATAAAGGTTGTAAAGAGTTTTCCTGAATATATTAGTGTGGTGTAAATTTGAAAATGATTTGATTCCATCACTACAAATACCATATTTACAATATTGTAATAGAACTCGATCTTTATTTGACAGAACAACATCATTGAAATTAAAACATTATAAACGTTCCATGTTTATAATGTCAAATCTCGATACAATAAAAACAAAATCATTCATCTGCAAATACAAAGCACGACTTGATTGACAATCTCATTTAAGTTTACAACGAAAATATAAATAAATTTATGGCATAAACTATAAGGATGAAAAAAAAAAAAAAACTTGCTACGACTTCCACTATGCAAAATTTGTTGTTTGATTAAGAACTCCCAAACAGGAAAAAAGCATAATGCTTTTTGTGAATTATTGTAAAACCCGCAAGAACTTAAAACCATAAACAAAAAAAACAATTAAATACGAACATACTAGTAGCTTATTAGTTACTAGCTTCTTTTCTTTTTCCCCTTTTCTAAAATTAATTCCATCACCAAGATTTTTCCTCTTCCATATATCTATCGCCTATCAGTTTACGTCTCAGCCGTCGGAATTAAATGAATCTAAATGCCTCATAAACACCGCCAATTAGGCGTATAAATGAATGAAAACAAAACGAAAAAAGTTTTAAAATTGACGCAATTCGTCAAATAAATGAAAGTTAGGGGTTTAAAAATGCAAAAAAAGAAACAAGAGGCGGGAGGCCAGGTGGATAGTATAAAAAGGAAGTCGCTCGACGCCAAATCTCTACCACTTAAAATAAGCTGGCCAAGCCATCCTGTTTTGTTGGTGCCTTTCTCTCTCACACACTCACACACCAAAACACATCGTTGTGTTTCCAAAAACCTCTAAAATAGAGAAAAAGAGAAAAAGGGGAAGAAAAAAAAAAAGAAAAAGAAAAAATTGAAAGACTAAAGGAGGTTCTAGAAAAGCGGAAAATCTGAGAGATTGAGAGAAAATACAATCCATCTACGTAAGAAAACGATCGCAAACTCTAGCAAAGAGCTACAAATCTCATTATCGACGGGTTTGCGGATCACATAATGGAGCTCCAGGTACAGAGGATTTGTTTAAATTATTCAATTTTTTTTTTCTCACTGCAGGTGTTAGCAGAGAACATTCTGCAATCTGCAATATATTGTATTCTTTGATTCGTTATACTCGTTCTGGTTCCTGGAATCTCCTCTATAGTTTGGAAAATGTTTTCAATTGATTCCTTCTTTTTTGACATTTTCTGGTGTTCAATTTCGTCCAATGTTGGTTTTTTTGACTTTGAGTTTGTTGATCTGGATTGTTCTTATCATTTTCTTTGTAATGGAGCGCGGGTAGGGGTTGAAACGGAGGGAAAAGTTTTGGTGGTTGGTTTGGAAGTGAAATGCAGCGTTGTTAGTTGGGAAAAAAAAAGGAAACCTTTTTTCCATATTGCTCAGATCTGTTCTCTGGTTCGTTGCATGAAAGAGATGTTTTGCAAGGTGTTTTCTGGTTTTCTGATTATTCAGTGATGTTTAATGCTGATGCGACCTCAATGCAATATTTGTTTGATTTTGTGGAAACGCGTTTCTGATTCCATGCTATTTTTTGTTTAAAATTTTTTTGGGGGTCGCATTCAGCGAGTTTTCATTTTCAACATTAATCATGGATTTTGCTATTTGTCAAGAAAATCGAGGAATACTGTTAGATGAAGATCCTGGCTCAACCACGGTGAATTTCTTTTCAGTTGGCATAAATTAAGTCGGGCGAGCATATTTCCCTCCTCCCTATCTCCCTTCTCTTAGCTCTCAAATTTAATTTCGGAAAAACAAATCCGGTTTGTGCTGAGAATCTGGTTTTGTTTTTTCATTGATTTGTCTGTTTTTCTTTTCCCTGTTGGACAAATCACTCGATAGGATTTATGACTTTTTTTTTTTGTATAATTATTTTTGTTCCTTAAATCTTGCAGCTTAGTGATTTTAGTTTTGGTATGACTTAATGGCCATCTTTTCTCTCATTTATGGTTTTTCTTGGCCTTGCAGTGCGGACAAGTCAACTTCTAGTGATTGCTGAAATAATTCTTGCCACATCCTTGGCAATTCTAAGGGACAGACTTCATAAAGTTATTCCATTTTTAATTTAAGAGTACCAGGGCTGGGTGGACTTTAGAAATACAATAATGGTTGCTACTGCTGCTACTTCTGCTATCTTCCCGGTGGCTTCCCCGCCGCCGGATTCTGGAGCAAAATCTTCTGGAAAGCTTGGAGGAAGTATTCCGAATAGTGTGGATGTCCGTGGTATTAAATCAAAATCCACGACTTCTGGAAATTTACAAGTTAAGGCTAATGCTCAAGCACCTTCTAAGGTTAATGGAACCAAGGTTGCAGTCTTGGATGGCCGCAAAACTGATGATGATGTGATCTCATCACCTCCACCAAGAACTTTTATTAATACGTTACCAGATTGGAGCATGCTTCTTGCTGCTATCACAACTATTTTCTTAGCTGCTGAGAAGCAATGGATGATGATGGATTGGAAGCCAAAGAGGGCTGACATGCTTTATGACCCTTTTGGTTTTGGGAGGATTGTGCAGGATGGTCTTGTTTTTCGCCAAAACTTCAGCATCAGATCATATGAGATAGGTGCTGATCGTACTGCGTCTATAGAAACGTTAATGAATCATCTTCAGGTATGTTGATTTAGTGACAGATTTATGAACTCGTAGCGCAGGGCATAGTATATATGTTGCTTTACTTATTTCATGTTTTTATGTGTTTGCAGGAAACTGCTCTGAATCATGTAAAATCAGCAGGACTACTGGGTGATGGCTTTGGTTCTACACCAGAGATGTGCAAAAGAAATCTAATTTGGGTGGTATCCAAAATGCAAGTTGTGGTTGACCGTTATCCTACTTGGTGAGTCAGATACTAACACAACCTTTATGATTTCGCATTATGCAATGCGCCACAAATATTGTGGAGCTAGTCTGAATGCCTTTTGTTGGTAGTATTTGTATAGTATCTTCTTTTTCTTGCCTTGCCTACGATACTGTCTAAGGTAGATAAGTCTACACTTCAGTGCATTGGGTTGGAATGTGTAATTTTTAAACATCAGTAGCCCCCTTGCTTTGTATTTTTCAGAACTATTCACATGGAAATCTAAATACTAGAAAATAGTCTAAGCTGTGAATCTCGTGCAGGGGTGATGTTGTTCAAGTGGATACATGGGTAGCTGCATCTGGGAAAAATGGAATGCGGCGAGATTGGCTCATCCGTGATAGTAATACAGGGGATATATTGACTAGAGCTTCTAGGTAAGACAAGTTTTTATGCTTATTATTTTGACAATTACACTTCATTTACAGTGAAGTATGCCAGGACAACTTGTACTCAAATTAATCTTTTTTTTTTCTTCCCGCAGTTCACTTTGTGAATTGGTTGTCCTGGTGTATGATATTTTGTTATGTCTTATGATTATGTACGAGTTAGTAATTCATGTTGTTTCTGTTGTGTTTATTATTACAGTTTATGGGTGATGATGAATAAAGAAACTAGGAGATTGGCCAAAATTCCAGATGAGGTTCGGGCAGAAATAGGAGACTATTTTGTGGATTCTCCTCCTATTGTTGATGAAGATGGCAGAAAATTGCCAAAACTTGACGACAAAACTGCAGACTACATCCGTACCGGTTTAACTGTAAGATCCTGTCTTCTGTGCAAAACCTTTTGTTGTCAGACTGTTAGTTGCATTTCTTGAAAGACTGCTTATGCGGTTAAGCAATTTTTCCGCAGCCAAGGTGGAGTGATTTAGATGTGAACCAGCACGTGAATAATGTGAAGTATATCGGCTGGATTCTGGAGGTAAAGAGTGTTCATTGTTGCTTTAGTAAACAAAAGTTAACTTTTATCTAAAATTAAATTGGTTGGCTCTACATCCCTCGCCTGTAAAATTTGGTGTTTTTATTTGAAAGAATAGAAGAACCAAACTCAAATTGTGGTTTAAAAACATTGAAACTTACTTGCATTATTGGAAATTGTTTTAATTGGTGGTCATTAAATCATGCAAACTATACTTTCTGACCTAAGAGGCATAAGTAACTAGTTGTTTGAAGAGAGGGTAAGGATCAATGAGACTGTTAGTTAGGAAAGTCAATTTTCCTTTAGTGGTGTTTAATTTCAGCCGAATTGCTTGTGGTGGCCAAGTGATTTTAAGTTCTCATTTATGTGACTATTTCTGTTGTTGAGTTAGCTGGCTGGAATGATTAACCTACATTAGTGTGCATTGAATAAATAACATTTATTTCTGTGTAGTTCCATTGTTGTATTTGTTATTATAAACTTATCTTATAGTTATGAGTACATGTGACTTCTATTTCTGTTGAGCTGTTAAATCATAACCGCTAAAACATTCTCTGGTATCTGGTTAGGTAGAATCTTCCACAAGTGCTTGGACCTTGTGACCTAATCTTGGACCTTTTGTCTTTTGCAGAGTGCTCCCCTGCCTATCCTGGAGACTCATGAGTTAGCCTCAATGACTTTGGAATACAGGAGGGAATGCAGGAGGGACAGTGTGGTGCAGTCCCTTACTTCTGTATTCCAAAATGGTGTGGGTGATATGGCTGTTCCTGGTAACGTCGAGTGTCAGCATTTGCTGCGACTCGAGGGTGGCGCCGAGATAGTCAAGGGAAGGACTGAATGGAGACCTAAATGTCCCAACAGGATTGGAAGCTTTGGTGGGCTTCCAGCAGAAAGTGCTTAGTTCTGCCATTTTGCTTTTGCAGAATATGACGGGATATTGGCCTTGTTGGTCCTCTGTAGAATACTTCTGCTCTTTGATCTTGGTTGTCCTTTCCCGGCTCTCTTCGGGAAGGTTATAAATATATATATTCCTTCATTTCTTCCATTTTGATTTTTCTTTTTCTTCTTCTTCTTCTTTTCTTTTTTTTTTTTTTTTTTTTTGGAGAGAAATAGGCAAAGCATTGTAATTATAGCCCTCCATGTCTTCTTTCTTTCTATCTTTTTTTTTTTTTCTTTTTTCTTTTCCTTTCATCTTTCTCTGCCTTCATTGGAAAGTTCCAGCTGGATAGCCCCATTCAATGAATGTGACAACTAATGCACAATTTTTATTTATGCAATTATTTATTAATTTTTATATAGTGAAATGGTTCCAATGGACATGTGGTCCATCTCATTTTTGTACGCCAACAAATTCATGTGCTTAAGTATTCGTTTCTGTATTTATCGGTGGAAAATAGCTAAATTTCTGGCATTGGTAATTTGATATTCATAATTCATATTGTGATTTTGAAACAAATGTATAATGGAAGTATATTCTGTTCATCAAGGAGAATGAATGATTTTATATCCCTATGTAGTTTTCGCCATTTATTTCTGCCAAGGTCCATTGAATTTATAACAGATATTGCTGTTTAGATTTTGGTGGCATGAAATGAAACTCCAGGTCTTTTTTAACACACTACTGGTACAAAGTGAGTTATGATTACTTCTGTTCGGGAAAACAGCAACTCTAGATTCTCGAAAGTAAGATCCTAGTGGATCTTGATCTCCAGTTCCCAGATTCTCGATTCTAATCCAGATAATGTAAAGAATTTCCAGTGTTCAGGATCCCTATAGAACCAAAATAAATTTACTTAGCCAAGTTATTTTGAGATCAAATGTATTGTACATTGTGTTGGAGTAGTGATGGTGGTTGCAATTTCACTCAACCTAAGCAGAGGGGCCTTACAGGAAATGATACGCGTGCTGGATCATACTAGCTATATAATAAGTATGTGACATTGTTCAGTATCACCTCGAAACCAATTACTAGTCCTTCCGATTCCTTATAATTATATATATATATATATATATATATATAAAGTCACGTTCACTGAGAACTGATCGCAGCATGACAACAAAAACACAGCCGTTATGCTTTAGGCGTGCAAGAAACCTCCTTCAGCAGATAACCAGAAGAAAACCAAACAAAACTCCAGTTCCAGCAGGATTTCGTGCCTTCGCCATTCATGAGGCTGGACGGAGTATAGAATAGATACCCGACATAATATGGAACCTTTCCCGGTCCAGTTTTTTTTTCTTTTTCCTTTGGCAAATTAAAAGAGCGAATGCTAATTGCAAAATTTTACTACTAAAAGAATTCGAAAGTAATGTATTCGCTTAAAACACGATCGTCACGTTAACTGCTAAAGCAGCAATTAGGTGCAATTCAGGCGGGGGGTGGCAAAGGGACCATCAGAAACTTAATAATAGTGACAGTTATTAGTGAAAGAGTCCGCAACTTCACATGTTAAAGGAAAGCTGGATGCAAATCAAAATCAGTCACCGGTGGCAGCCGGGCAATAACAATATATCTTTCAATTTTTTATTTTTTATTTTTTATTTTTTCTGATAGGGAAACACACAAAACAAAAATCTGGTTAGCTTTCTCACATGCTGTTTTTAATTTCTTTTGAATTTCTGTTTGGGGTGCCTTTAGTGGGGAGCTAGCTATCTTCACAGTTCACTTGCAATTTTGCTTACATCATCATCATCATCATCCATCAATGATCCAGGTGGAGTGTGCATGGACTGTGAACCAAATTAATAACGTTAATGTTAATTTGCAATTCTCAGTTAATTTGTCTTTTTCAAGGAAAGCCTTTCTTTTTGTTTTCTTTACTCTTCAACCTAGATTCTGTTTCCAGTGATTTTATTTATTTCTCCTTGATTTTTTTTTTTTTGGTTTAATTGAAGTTTTAAGGTTTACTAGGGAGAGATTCTTACTACATCAGCACACCAGGACAAAAGAGGATTATGTTTGTGATGATAAAAGAATCTCTTGGAGAGAGATCCATCAGACGCTGTGTTTTTGCAAGTGAAAAAACCCTCTGTCATTACCGGAGCAAGGATTTTTGAAATTGCAAAAGTGACATAACAAAAGTTTTATTTTGGACTGAAAAAAATATTGCATTTATAAGTTCCGGATCCTCATTTGAAAAAAAAAAAAAAAGTACCTGACTCGAAATGATTGTTCTAGTCGTTATAATAAAGTTAGGTTGGAGAGAATACTAGGGTATTTCTTTTTTCAGAGGGAATTTTTATATTTTTTAAAATAAAAAATTTAAATTCAAATGAAGAATGCTTGACATTATATTTCATAAACATTAAAATATTTCATAAATATATTTTCTTCATTTTAAATTATTATTCAATTGGATTTTTTAATTTTACGATAAATTAAAAATAAAAACTCAAACTTACGCCATCATTTTGGGACATAATTAACTCTTCCCTTTGTTGTCTCAGTCCACTCATGCCTTGTGCTCCTTAATCCTTATGGGAGATTGAAGTGCAGTGTTTTCCTTTATTTAAATTTATGATGAAATCTTTAAAAAGAGAAGAAAATTAATGTAATCTTCTTTGATAAAATTTAAAACTCGCCTTAATTAATGTCAACACTCATGATGCAAGGCAAGGGGACAATTGTAGCCATTTGCTCGCGTTGTAGTACTGCTTCATTTCGGAGAAATCCATGTGGCCTATGAACAATGTGAGTTGGTGACCTGCCTTCGTATTGTTATAGATTTTTTCATCACAATAGTTGTTGTTGTAAAATTTCAAAAATGTGTTATAGCATATGATATCCATATATAATGCCCGATAAACGTGAATTAAGTAGCGACTAATTAATTTGATGATCTTCTATGTAACCATATTCGTATATTTTCTTCGTCCAAAAATTATTATTCAATTTAAATTTATATTTGTATTAAAAGTGAAAATCCACACTAAACAATCATTTCTATAAAAATTAATTGATCAAAATTTGTCAAAAAAGTAATTTACCTAATTCAACAAAATGAACATATCTTTTCATCCTTTTTTTAATCTTTTGTGATATTGGATGACACAATGATTAGTACCCATACTAACCTGTAAGCTAACATCTGGATTATGCATCTATTGCTCGTGGTGTAAGAGGCAATCATAGCCAAATGCACCATTACTTAGGCCCAAATGATCATCCAGATTGGGGGTAATCACCAACTTATATATATTTGGAAAAATAGTGAAAATTATTACATGGCCATCCATTATTTATAATTATGTTTGACAATTCCTCCTTTCCCTCTATTGCAAATCGGTTTCTAAACTTTTAAAAGATTCACTCAGAACGTTAATTGTCATTACACTGAATTACAATTTTAACGAAAGAAATAATGTATATAAAAGCAACAGATATAATCTCTTATGTAAGTTTGTTATACAAAGTTACAAAACAACAATCCTCTTCATTACAAATTTAAAAATTTTAGTACATTTCCTTCGTTTTATAGAAAAAAATTTGAGAACGTCCGACCAGTCCACACTAGTATATATTTCTAATTCTATCACTCACTACATACTTCACAACTCTAGTTTTTTCCTCCAAATTTTCAAGGAGGTCCATGTGAGAAACCCTAATTTTTTTTTTATTTTTTAATTTTATATAGTACATCACATCTGCAGATACATTTGTCAACAACCAAGCAACCGTCAGTTAGTTTTTTCTTTGTCAACCAGAAACAAAATTAAAAGGACTGGCTAACCGATTCTTATAGTTTTCATAAAACAATTATATTTGTCATCCCACTATGTGTGTACCAAGTACCAACCACTTCAACTGCAAATTATTATCTTCCAATATATATGTTTTTTTTAAAAAACCACTAATTTATAAAAAATGCTTGTGATTTCAATCACTTGTCAATTCAATCATTGTTAGATTACGATTTATTCCAACAAATTGCAATATAAAAATTTTTAAAATTCCCCCTCGAAGCTACTCCAATTGAGTCAAGTTAGTCCCATGTTCCATTGCTAAATTCCAAAATACGCCAAAACACAATGGAAAATAGGTTAAAAAAAGTTTGCATTTTGGATGGAGAAACTGTACCTAGGCCTTTAGAGAATAATATGCACAATTGAGACAATGGACATAGAATTGAATCTTGAAAATATGAGAAAAAGACAGGAGGCCGTTCGACTAAGATTCTTTTTTTTTTTTTTTCGGTAAATTGCCACCAACGTAAATCTCGTGAATTAGTTCGTATGTTAAAGTTCGGCCAACTGGATTAATTTCAAAGTTGGATGGATACCAAACGTAACGTATTGTAACGTTAGTTTTCACGAGGATTTCATTTTTACCCATCTTTACTCTTTTCATTCGTTTCATTTTGTACGAATAAACGGTTTTAGACTATACGGACCAAACTCGTGTGTTGCTCATGAATAACACGGTTCAATAATCTTTAAAACAAAAGTTTAACTGTTCAACACCTTAATTGAATCAAGAACGTCAAACACGTTAAAAGTTCAAACTTAAAGCTCAGAAATGAAATGGTAAATCTATCGAATCTATATCCGGTAATATACAATTCGAATTTTCACTTTTAGTTCAATTAGTATAAAAAATAAAAATCTAAACTGAAAAATGATTTCGGACAAACACAAATATAATTAGATGTATTATGGGTGAAGTGGGCTAAAAAAATCTTTTATTTGGTTGTTTAATTAAGCAAGTAAAATTGGTTTACTTATTTTTTTACATGAAGATCAAAAGGGGGAGGGGGGGTAAAATTAAAATGAGCAGTGACAAGTTCTTGAAAGTCTTCTGCAACATCTGATGATGGATGGAGCCCTCAAACAATTAAACAAAAAAGAAAACAAAAGAAGAATTGCATATGCTCTGTGGGACCCTCTTGATCCTTCTGTCCTAAACTGCCTCTCTCATATTTCCAGATCCCAATTTCTAGTTTGGGTGAAAGCATTGTTAAAGAAGAAGGGAGGGAAAAAAAAAAAAAGTCACAGCCTTTGTGAACAATTATTTCTTACAAAGGGAAATATCATAAAAATGATGTATAGTAAAAAAGAAAGTGATTCTGCTGCACAAAATAAAAATTCCCAGTAGTACTACTACCATAGTATTTACCAAATTGAAAAATACTGCCTGCATCATTTTTTTTTTTTTCTCTCTGCAAGAAAAAGAAAAATGCCGGCCTGGTTGTCTGGCCTCTATCATCTCATGCTTAGCGCTTCAATCGAGGAAGCACTAATTGAATGGAGGAGCACTTAATAAAGAAAATTAATCATCAAAGCACCCCATTAATTTAATTAAAAACCAGACCTTTTTTTATTTTATACTCTTATTTTTCCATTTCTTGTTTGATTAGAGCTTGAAAACAAGCTGAAAGAAGACAAAAACAAGCTTATAATCAAACCAAGAACTGGGAAAAACACACAACAATGTTTCCTTGGTACCCAGATATGGGTCCTCCATAACCATAATTATGTCTTTGATCACAAGCTAGTATCCTCCTCTACTAAACTTACTACTACTACTACTGCTTCTAAAGGAGGGAGAAAAGAAAAGGGCACAAAAAAAAAAGTGAACTTTATGATTGATTGCCATTGATTGTTTTCTTTTTTCCTTTTCATCCCCTTCATGTAGTAAGTAGTAGCAGAAGAAGGCCTACTGCACATCTATCTAATCTCTTCATCCCTGCTATTTGTCTGAGGAATCTTTTTCTCTTTTGGGTTCTCTGGTTAGTCCAATCTTTGATTCTTCTCCTCCAGGCAGTCCCAGCAAAACCCAGGTTCTTACTTTTGTCTCTCACTGTATGCTTTATGGATGTAGTTTGTGATTTTTTTTTTTTTTTTCTGGGCTCTTTTTCTGAGTTTGTTTTTGTTTCTCAGTCCGAAAACATTTCTTTGGTGATAGAGAGCTTGCTAAAATTGGCTAGGAATGCCATTTGTTTTTCTTTGTTGGGTGGACTGGAAATCTAGATCTTGAAATGTTAAGATGTTTTGGCTGCACTTAAACCACTGACATTGAGAAAACCAGCTGCACTGACACTTAACAATCTTAGGGTGTATAGCTGAAGACTTTTACCTTTCCAAATTGCAAGTAATTTGTTGCAATTTCTTGTATTTTGTGATCTGGGGTTTTTTTCTTGATAAACTTTTTCAGTCTTTTCTGGTGTTGTTAAGTGGATCTGTGCTCAAATATTTTTCTGACATCCACAACCCAGATCTGTCTGTAGACATACATTTTAATGTGGTTTTATGTACGTAGTCTTGCGGCTCATAGCCTGATCTTGAATTTCTGAACTGCCTTTACAAATACTACTAGGTCTCTAAATTATCCTCTTCGTAATGGGGTCTGTGTGTGTGTGTTTTCCCTTCTTTTTTCCCTTTAGATTTATGAAGAAATTTTGAAAGGTAAAGAGGTATAATGGCCTTGGCAGTTCATGTTATTTAGTTTTTTTTTTTTTTTTTTGCATTAGTAACTGTGGAATGAAGAAAAACAAAAACCGGTGTAAATATTTCCGGGGCATGATTTGCTGATACTGATAATGTCCTGTTGTTTCCTTATGTTGGATACTTCCCTGTTATATTGCTTGCTGCTCGGTTAATTTACTGCAGTTGTTTAATTGAATCTATTTACCTTTGGCAGATTGGAGAACTGCTACTATGCTTAAGCAAATTTTAGCTAAACTCCCTCGGAAGTCATCAAAGAACGATACACTAGTTTCTGTTGGAAGCGATTCTTGCAACTCTGCTACAGACTTGGACAGTGGTATACCATATACCACTACTTGTAATGTCATATCGAGCCGATTAAATGTAGTTAAGCGCAAGTCTTGGGCAATCTTCCCTGCAAGCATTACAGCTGGGGGGTACTTGGTTGAGCCACATGTACCATTTAAAGATGTTCCAAATGCAGATAAGCAAAGCTTATTTGTTAGTAAGCTAAATCTCTGCTGTTTAGTATACGATTTCAGTGATCCAAGTAAGAACTGCACAGAGAAAGACCTTAAACACCAGATATTATTAGAACTAGTTGACTATGTTGGTTCGGGATCTGCAAAATTCACCGAGTCAGTGATAGCTGCATTGTGCAAAATGTGTGCTGTTAATCTCTTCAGAGACTTTCCACCCAAGTACAGCTCTCATGCTCCTCGAGGTGAAAGTGAAGATGAAGAACCGTCCTTTGATCCAGCCTGGTCCCATTTGCAACTTGTGTACGACCTATTTCTCCGTGTCCTGACCCAGAACAACCTGGATGCAAAGCTAGCAAAGAAATACATTGACCACAGTTTTATCTTAAGAATTCTTGAACTTTTTGACTCCGAGGACCCCAGAGAAAGAGACTGTTTGAAATCTGTTCTGCATCGCCTATACGGCAAGTTCATGATGCACAGACCCTTCATCAGGAAGGCCGTCAGCAATCTATTTTACCGGTTTGTTTTTGAAACAGAAAGGCACAATGGAATTGCTGAGCTATTGGAAGTCTTTGGAAGTGTAATTAGCGGGTTCGCTTTACCTCTGAAGGAGGAGCACAAGATGTTTTTGTCTAGGGCTCTAATTCCTTTACATAAACCTAAATCACTGGGAATTTATCATCAGCAGTTAAGTTACTGTATTTTACAGTTTGTGGAGAAGGAACAGAAGTTGGCATTGACTGTGATAAAGGGCCTTCTCAAATACTGGCCTGTAACAAGCAGTCAGAAAGAATTGATGTTTCTAAGTGAGTTAGAAGAACTTCTGGAGATGATTAACAATGTGGACTTTGAGAAGATCATGGTGCCGCTGTTTCGACGTATAGCATGCTGCCTCAACAGCTCCCATTTCCAGGTAAACCTTTTTGCTGTTGGAATCTCTTCATTTTAGATGCAAAGAAAAAGAGGAGCTCGGACGTAGCAGGCTCCATTTTTAGTTTTGTTGGGTTTTTCCTCCCATCTTTTCTTTGGTTGGATGAGGATAAATATAACAGGATGGTGCACATCAGGGACTTAAGTGGAAACAAAGCTAGTGATCAAATGTTAGAAGGATAAATGAAAAGAAAACGCCTAATGAAAGACTATTGAGGATGTTCTTATTCTTAACTAAATAACAATCAAAACATAAGAAAAGGATTCCTTAATAGGTAATACTCTGTGATATTTGTAAGTCCTTTCTCAGAGAAAAAATATTTTGTACAAAGCATTTCACTAGAAGATTGAAGTCGTTATGCCCCGTGTATGATACGTTCCAGAGGAAGAATGATCTTGATGTGGAATTGAAGCTCAGACTGGTGACATTAGCTTAATGTCCAGTTGATTAATCTATTTTCCACAGCTTCCCTATGACAGTATTACTCTTAAATCTCTAATATTCAATCCAAATGTAGGTTCTAGCTAGTGCAGCTATGACTGACTTGGTTCTTTTTGATGATTTCCAGGTAGCTGAGAGAGCACACCTGTTGTGGAATAACGACCATGTACTTAATCTTATCGCGTATAACAGACATGTAATAATGCCAATGATACTTTCAGCGTTAGAATGGAACAGCCGGAACCATTGGAACAAAGCTGTTCTCAACCTTACTCAAAACTTGAGGAAAGTATTCTCTGAGATGGATGAAGAGCTGTTCCGAGCTTGCCAAAGCAAGATTGAGGAGGAAAATTCTAGGACAAGCTTGCTAGCTGAGAAGAGAAGATTGACTTGGGAACGCCTTGAAACTGCTGCAAGTTGCCAACGTCCAATGTCCAACAGCATTTCAGGTGCCATAGAATCTGCCCCATGTGCCATAACCTGCTAATCACTCACATTGAATCCTACACCCCCGTGTTTTTATTGGATTCAGGAGAAAAACATAATTGTTGAAAACATCTCCTGAATTGCACGGATGCAACTGTGATTCAGAATATTTAAAGAGCGCAGGTGAGTTGATTCTGTGTTTTGTTATCCGTTGAAGCTGTGTCAAGGATGGCTCACTTGCTGCTTCCGTAACCCTCCCTTTTGTAAGAGAGTTCTGGGAAGATGTAAAACTTCCTTTCTTGTAGCTGTTAATTTCGCAAGAACAGAGATCAGCCTCATCAATTCATCTTAGAAAAGCAGTATCAGAAATTATGCTCAAATTGTAAGTTTGATAGTGCTTCATTTCCCGCTGGTATGGTGAAGGCAGGCGCCATGTATATTAATATAGAGTTATATGTTATAAGGTAATGATCTCAGATCTGTGTGGAAGTATATTTGATGATGAGATTATAAAGCTGCCCTGCACATGTACCCCTTCCAATCTTTTTACATTAGGCCTATGATTAACCCAATCATGGTTTTCAGATCATATCTTTTCTGGAAGGAAACATCTGAATGTGACTTCTGAATGCCAACATTAGAACCCTATTAGACAATAGAGCTAACAAAATTTCTCAGTAGCATTAATTCTACATATTGTGTCAGTTATGTCTAGCTAAATAAAGTAATAAGATTTTTGTTCATCGTTGATGTTCTAGTAATAAAACCTAAACGTTACACAAGCGGTGACAAAATCTTTAGTTATTGATGGTAACAAGTTCTCCAATAATACATGCTCTATATTTCCGACAATCGAATCCACTAGAGAAGTAACTGTTTCAAAAAAAATTCTGCACACTTGATAACCCGACGATGAAGTCGACGACCATTGTAGGAATGTTCGTAGAGACGAAGAGGAGTTAATTTCTCAAAAACTGTCTCCTCGGCTTAAACCAGCTCCTATCAGTTGGTTGATCAAACCGAAGTCTGAAACTATTGTGTAAAAACGATCTCGTGGGGATCTCTAAAACCCAATTACAAATGGACAAGTTTCACCAATTATTGACTCCAATTATCAATCAAGGAGGATGACACAACTAAACAACCAGAACCCCACAATTTCTCTAGTATTCCTCAACGTTTGATTATGTTACTCCTATTTTGTAAGAACTGAAAAAGAAAGTAAAGATAAACAACCAGATTAAGTTTCCCTTTGGATACCAGAGTTTCGCTTTCAAAGCACCAAAGAAAAATAATAGTATTGGATTCCACTGTTTTGTCAAGTGGTCAATTACTCACCACCTACCCTGTGGCTCACGTTTTCTTCCATGGGGGTGTATTAATTTCATGCTAACTGTACCTTATTATTATTGCATCCATCCATCTTTCATTTTTCAATTTCATCTCTCTCTGCCTCTCATCTTTCCTGCTTCATTTTCTTCACAAATTTCTGGGTTTCAACACAACAGAGAAAATGTATGCACCAGCGCCACCAAGTTATCAGGAGATGTCTTACACTGATCACGTCAAACGCCGTCATGAAGAAAGAGGCATGCTCTATGCTTGGTTCGTTTCATCCCCCCCTCTTCTTGTTGGATCACTTTAGTTTCCAGTTTTGGGTGTCAGTAATGATGAATCCTGTACTGAACTTCTGATCCTTTTGGTGCCTTTTTTTTTTTTCTTCTCTTCTGTGCAGTGCATTCGCGTTGTGTTGCTGTTTCTGCTGCTATGAGACTTGTGAATGCTGCTTAGACTGCGTCTGCTGCTGCTGCACCTGAAATCACCCCCCGATTTCGTGGGGTTCTATATATGTATATGTGTGTTGTGATCTTGATTCTTATGTTGATGTGTATGAAGCACGTAAGAATGGGTTATAGAGGCATGTATTATTGAATGACTTCACTATCTGTATTTAATGAGGATCATCTTTATGTTGAAGATATCCAGATTGACTTTCTTATATTTGGATGATCTGAACTATTTCTTCAATCGCAGAGCATTTCAGTTGGCTAGCATTTACAAACAGATATATGTAATATTACTCGCATATAATCCATGGTTTTCTACTACTTAGTTTTGTACAGAGCAGTAAACGTGCAAAATGTGAAAGAAAATGAAAATCTAACTTGGTAAATTGTATCCCTATTGAATGGAAAGGAAAGAGGCATAAAAAAGAAAGATGTTCTACAAATAATCGGCTGAATCTGAACCGTTGTTCACCTTATTCGATTTTAGTCTGTACAGTTTTAGTAGTGAAGACTGAAGAGGCTTGAATACAACATGAATTGTTCAGAGAATCTCACTCAGGCATCATCTAATTATGACCCCCAAGTCTGAACTGATACCACAGGTTTTTCTCATCAATTTTACCCAATCCCAACTCTCCCATGACATGCTCTCTCGAAAGTAAAAACAGAAACGATGAGAGTGATGCAAGTCAGAAAATGTATGAAAAACCTATGGAAGTCAGGGCAGAGGTTAGCAATACTGAGACGAAGTTTACAGCATTGTTATCCAGAATAGTAAGACCAGAGATTTTCTTCACTGTTGGCCCTGGTTTTCCTACAACCTGCAGAAGAGGAGAACCAAAAAAAAAAAAACACAAAAACAAAAAATCAGCTTCACCACAAACGTGGATGGTTAAGAAATTCAGGATAACGAGGTTCAAGTGTTAATTGTGGAAGTGCAGTCAGGCGAGTTCTCATGACCTTTCGCGAATTTGAAAGTCTTATGGACGTAAAAAAACAGGTATGTTACCTTATTCCGGACACTGCAAAATCCACTGTATTGCAGAGTTGCTCCTAACAATGAATCTATGACGCTTCCTAAAACTCCTGCCAATGCAGAAAGGGGGATCACTAATAGCTGCTTTATCGCCGCATCGAAAGAGCATGTAGTTGTAATGTAACCCAGTAATACAAATGCCAATCCAACGACGCCTCCTGCTGCAGCGGCTGCAAGAATTCCAGCTTTAGTCACACCACCATTTGTACCCCTCCGAACTGGCTGGTTACGCGGATCAAGTATAGATCCCCAATAAAAAGGAAAAGAACCAGAGTTACCATCTACAAACTGAGTAGCTTCACAATAAACTAGAAGGATAAACTTGGTTCTAGTAACCAAAACAGAAAAAGATTAAGTTCCTAAAATGAATCAAGGATCGAGGAAGACCAAAAGATCACACAACCTTTGAAGTCAAGATGATTCATATACATGGACAGATTAATAGAATAATCAACACAAATGCACGTACCAGCATTTAAAGACGGTATACTGTAACAGACAAATTCATGACAAGGCAAGAATTAGCAGTTTAACTTTGTACAAAAGATTTTGTCTCACAGAATTAGAACTTAATTTCGATCAGAGAATGCACAAATACTTGGAGAATTATATACTGACCACCAAAGCAAAGAACAAATAAAAATTTATGTTGCCATGAAAGGAGAACAAAGAGACTAATTTAGCAAAACTGTCGACGACTTCCATCACAGCGATCAAGGAGCATCAATTGTCAATCTTAATTCAACAACATCAAGGAGCATCAATTGTCATTTTAGAAGGACAAAAGATCAAACTTTTCATTCCCTAAACTATATAAAGGAGAACAAAAGTAACAAGCCATTCTGAATACAACTAAGGAAAATATAACATACCTTCAATGTTGTGATCAATATAGGCTGATCCTCGCTCAGAATCCCTAGTTCTGATGACCATGTGTCTCCATTGCAGCAACAATAGTGGCCAATGATGCCACCAACAACAGATACCAGAAGGCCCGATTCTTTTGTGTCAAGACATTTGTCCTGTGAACCAGCCAACTTCCATGCAACTAGGACTAAGATGCTAGCAATGCCACTATTAGCAAGAACTTGTATCCTGTGAAGAAAGACAGGAGCAAGACAGTGAAGGAAAACATAAATTACAGAAAGAGGCATTCTCACGAAAAGTACTTTTAATCGAAGAGTTAACGGTACATGTCCACAGAATCTATATTTATCTGTTCCACTTCACAATGCATTGTCGCCTATTAAATAGCCGCCATAACACTTTTGGTTCAAATAATTAACAAAGGCTCTATTGACAAGACTGCTGAGTTGGCTTTAGTAAAAGAAAGGGGCATACGCCTATTTGTCTAAATACTAGGTCTCCAAATACATAGAAAGATAGGCGATTTTAGCAAAGCACGAGCCACATACTTCCCTGAAAAGTTCCAGAGATCAAATTGCAAAAATATTTCTCATAATAGATCAACTGTTGACAAAGTACGAATTATACATCATCAAACAGGCAGCGGGCCAATTTTTGAGGCCATCACAATAAAGGGGGAAAAGCATTTTGGGTTAGCTGTTTGAAAAGTTGAATCCGATAAGCACTAATTGTCTGGTTGTCACTGTCTATACAGTCAAACATAAAGATCAGTAAGTCAATGATCTACAAAGCATTTACACAAAGTACAGTACTGGAATCATTTAAAGAATCCACGACCACCAGAAACTTCTCAAATTCCAAATGAAGAAATAACTTTGCACAAATCCTACATAAGAATTGAACAATGGCACAGCCAAGAAGGTCTGCTCACTTGAACATCATCTTCCCAAAAACAAAATTATGCAGTATAACAATCCTCAAAAGAAACAAACAGATATCATTCACTTAATGAACAGAGATGAAAATTACGGGGAAGCATCAAGTTCGTAGAGAACCGGAATAAAGCACGAGACAACACTAAATAGCAAACATTTAAGCCAGCAGAAGTCAGCAGCACTACAGGGAAACTAAGCAATATGGCAAAATTACCAGTTCCGCTGGCCTCCCTCTTTGAATTCAGCATCAAGCTTTCTCTTTTTCTCCTCTCCATACTTAGTGAGCTTGGAAGAAGTGAAAAAGAAAACAAGCAACATTGCCCCAAACCTGCATAAATTCATTAAAGTGAGAACATCAAGAAACTGCAAACAACCCACTGGAACCCAATTACACAACAGAATAAGAGAGATAGGAAAACCTGCCTGTAGTTGACGAAGAAGTGAAGGGTCATAACAACAAATCCGGCAAAAGCTCCAGAGAGGTCAAGGGACTTTTTCCTGTAAGCTCTAATAGCAATTACTGAAGAAAGTAATGCAGCAACGATGGGTTGGATCATATCTTTCTCCATTTCTCTGGTCTCTCTTTTCCACCTAACTCCCCGGTCAAATGCCTTTTCCGGGCTGATGTGACTTTTTTCTGACGTTAATTGGTCAGCTGATTGATGATGAATCTGAGGTTGAAGGCCAAAGATCAAGTTTAAAGAGCGAAGCGGGTTGATAAAATCCTTCCTGTTTGGTGATTCAGTGATTCATGGCGAACATGTTTCATGCGTTAGTCCGTCAGAGGAAGAGTGAAAATCTCATATGAATCAGAAGGAATCTAACAAATTCATAATTTAGGATGTGGGCGTCTTTGGTTGACTCTAGTACAACTTTGAACTGCAAAATTACAACTGCAGTTGAAGACTAGAATGCCCAATTTATTGTCTTATTTTAGTAGAATAAGTCAATCTATTACAGTATAATTTTGGAACGGAAAGAAAAAATTAACAATCAATCATTGATACTAGGGAAAGGGCCGGCATCAGTAATAGTATCAGACTATCAGTTAATTACTCGTACACAATATGGGTGTAGCCGTGTAGGTCTTGTTGGGAGCAGTTAAAACCCGTAATGAAAGAAAAGAACAGTACAGTCTGGGCAAGCAGCTGGCAGCTTTGTGCATATTGGAACTATCGAAATTTTAGTGCATAAAGCGTGGAAAGAAATAAGAAATACTCTTTATCGTCTCAAAATTATTGTCCCATTTGAAATTTCGGTTTTAGTTCAGATTGTACAAAAAATGAAAACCCAAAGTGGACAATACAGAGAGAGTAACATTTTCCACTGGACACTATCACCTCATAAAGCAGAAACCCGCAAAAGCTGTAAGACTCTAGTAAGATCAGTTGCAGAATAAATTGAAATTCAAAGCTGATTAGAAAATTTTCATCAGAGAGGTATCTTGATAGCCCCCGCCATGCAGGCTCCTTCAGTATTGCGGTTCTTAACAGCCAACAGGTTTGTCTACCAAGTCCATTCACTCAGGCGAATCCACGGATCATTGTGCACCCTCCAGCCCACTCATTGCTCAGATTCTGTTACATAGTTATTGAAGCTGTACACGAAGGACTTGTCATTGCTTAAGAGGAAATGAGCAAATCTCGAAATGGCTTTGCAACTGCGATTCTCTTTCACTTGGGACTATAATGGCAGGTTGAAAGTTTCTTAGCAAGAACCAGATTCTGATCAGATCAGAAACTTCTAACAGGAAAGAGTAGATTACTAACAGCTCATAGTACAATCATCATTAGCAGACCATTTTTTAATAAGATCAATTAATCAAGCATCAATCAACAGTGGAGTAAAAGTAAGAAGCAAAAGGTACCTAGAAAAGGAGACTCCAGTTCTAAAATTTAAGGTAGCATCCAGGAGTGCATTAGCCAGGAACGGAGTTCCTTCAAAAGAGATAGACAAATTGGGATTTCATAACCCCTGCACATCACTTGCGACAATCCGAGGGAGGAATGACAAAGCCAAAGAGTACACAACAAGAATAGGCAGATAAGCAGATTGAAATCATCCCCTACTTCTGCCTCCTCTCCTTCCTCTTCCTCTACCTCGACCTCTTCCTCTATACCCGGTCCTACCGTCAGCTCCAGCATTGTCTCTTTCAAAACTAAACATGCTCATCCTTATATTCTCTGCATCCGATAAATGAGGACCTTTCTGAACCTGTACAAACAAGACCAAATCAGGATTCCACAATGGTAAAACCGGTATCACAACTTGATAATGCCTTGATGGCTTGCTTTCCTCTGAATGTATATAAAATAGCTTAATAGGTATGCATGGAGCTGTACAGGGATAATATCCGTGAGAATAATAGCTGTAACTGATTCAAGATGGTACTACCGTTCAGAATGAAGCTTACATGACTATCTTCCAAATCAAATTGCTCTTGAAGCTGTCGTGCAAGGACCTCATCTTGGTTGACATTAGCATGGCTGTGAGATGTTGACGAGCCTACTGCAGCTTTTCGCCTTTCCCACTCTTCTAAAGTAAGTACTGCAGTATCCTCTTCTTTTTCCCTCCTGCCATGTCTCCTTCCTCGGAAATGTTGATTACCTTGGTTAGGCTGATTCATCCTCTGCAAAAGTTTTTGAGCAGCAGCTTGGTTTTGAACAGGTACAGATTCAGCCACTGTAGAAACAAAATCAAAGCTCATTAAGCAATAGTTTTAACAAGTAGCAAGTTTTTATTGCACGATCAAGAGATCTGGGTGACACTGGAAAGAAATTACTATTACTTTCTACATTTTGAGACAATAACGAATGTGTACACAATGGGATTTGTTCCCAGCAGAGTATTTAGACCCTGTACAGACACTCTTGCAGACGAGTCACCATAAAGAAGTATGGAGATAAGTTTAACAGAAAACTATGGATGCTTTGAATACTTTATGTCAATGAAATTCTAAATCCCAGCAGGCGATACATAAATTGTAACACATTAATTACAATCAAGAGAAGAAAATATCTCAGATAACACATATTAGCTTCCAGAATATCAGAAAAACAGTGTGCCTCACCTTCTTTTTGCCTTGCATCGGCAACAGAAACTCCCCTTTCTTCAGCAGAGTTTTCTGGTGGCCGGATGTCAGATGTCTTTCTATCTACCGTGATGTTACTCTGCGGTTTAATTGGCTGCCTTGAAGTGGAACTTCCACTGGTGCCTGAGCTATCAGCAGGCAGCTTGGAATGCTCTGCAACTGAGGATTATACGAGATTAGACGTGAACTGCTTTTTTTGATAACTCAAGAGTAAAAGTGAGCTGATAAGAACATTGAATAAGTCAATTGAGCTGATAAGAAAAATAAATTCCTATTTAGCATGTGCTGATTGTAGAAAATCATCACATGTACATTTTAAAGGACATTCTCACTGATTATTCAGCAAAGAGAAGCAAGCACTCAGACTTGATTAAGTAAACGGTTTACAGAACATACCTAAAGGTTTGCTCTTCCTCAGCAAAGATGCACCGATTTGAAGTTTCTCAAATGGTGGAGGACCACTAGCTGCATTTTCATCAGATGGTCGTGCAGATGAGCGTGAAAACCCCGAATATTTCTGGTCCATCTGCCATTCCTCGTAAAGTGTTTGAACCACCCCTCCTAAAACCCTAGTTACTTTTGCATCTAAGCAGACAATTCCGTTGCGAACCATGGCTTTATTTTCCAACCTGACCTGTCAAAAGTAGATATAGGCTGAAAGTGATTACAACGACAATTAACATATCAATCAACTATAGCTGAGAGAAAGTTACCACAATCTACGCATACAACCAGCATTTAGTTCCAACAAGTCAATGTAAACTGGAAAGTATATAATGTATTCGTTTACATTTGCAATAGATCAAACAAAGACCCTAGCTTATACAGCATCCATGTAAAAACACGGAGGAACTCTGAAAGAAGGAACAGAAAGCACTAAGAATACCTTGGTGCCACGGACCACTTTATCAGGAAGTGATGGAATATGAGAAAACTCAATAGCAGTGATTTCAGAGTGTCCATCGGTAAGCTTCAATTTCAACAAACGCTTACTGCTCGAATTTCCCGAAATTTCATCCACATTACTCTTAGTTATATCTTTAGCAGAAGATACCTGTATAGAAAATCAAATGTTTGAAAACTCCCAAATAAGAACATTAAAAAAAAAAAAAGGAAAGGAAAACAAAAGTGGATGCTGTAGATTTTACCTGAAGGACTTTGGGGCCGGGAAGATGGGAGGTTTGTCGGAGCTGAGAAATTTCAGGCAAGGATTTCCCACCGATGGATCGCAAATCCATTTTGAGGAGTTCAGATTCGAGAGAATCGACGGTGCAGGACTTTCCTCCGGTGGAAGAAAATTGAGCTGCGATTAAGGCTCTGACTTGCTCGACATCCTTAAAACACCAGCCTCTGCTGGTTAGGGCTTCTAATAGAGACTGCGTAACGGCCGGAGGGAGATTCAAGGAAGAAGAAGAGGACGTCTCCATTGTTGCACTCTAATATGTTGCCCGTAAGGTGTTTGTTGTTTTGAAACCCCTGGGTCAAAGTCAGGCGCGCGCTCTTTTGCTTGTTTTTCCGTTTCAATTTTCTCTTTGTTTTCCCCCTTTTTGAGCTTTGTCTAATTACTGTGTTAGCGAGGTGTTTTCTTTTTTCCCCCTTTTTTTCCACCTCAAGGTGGATATCAATTATACTGATTCTAGTGGGGAAAAAAAAATAAACATGTCATTGATAATATAAATTGTATATTTGTATTAATAACCATTGACCAATTTCGGATCAAATGACTCCATATCTTTACAAATTAAACTAAATTTTCATTCTTTCGGTTCCAAATAAATAATTTATATTATTTCAAAATTCAGCGTAAGCTATCTTTTTCAGACCGACAGAATAATTATTCTTTTTGCCTGACAGTGTACGCACCAACCATTCGACATTTCCACGGACATTTTTCCTATCCAGCAACTGTTGCTCAAAATCTCTTGAAAAAAAAAATCACATTTCTCTAGACAGTATTTGAAATTTAGACAAACCATGGTAAAACATGCATCTTCATGCATCAGCCACGCATATCTCCACCCTTACTGGATTTTGAAGTTTAAGCACTTATCCTGATTGTGCCTTTGATGGCAAAATCACAAGGAACAAAGAATAAGGCAAAATTTTCCCTCCATAACTTTTTATCTTCCATCAGTACGTCCGTTACTAATTTCATAGTAAGTCGCGATCATAGAGAATGCTTTTAATTTAGGAGAACCCAAAAACACTATTTTACCTTTAAATAACACCCTTGTTATGAGGCACAAAATAAATGATTTAAGTACAAACAGTATATCCAAGTACAAGAATCATGAGCAGCACAAAAGTTACAAACTACTAGTGATTCACCCAGAATCTTGGGAAGAGGTGGTCTTATATATACTTTAACAATAGATATCGTGTGCAATAGATAATAGATTCATCATGAGTTAGAGTATTCTTCATAAAGTGATATTAATATTACACTTGCATCATCATTGTAATTCTTATTTTAGATAGAATAAAGTATTACTTTACGAATTGCAAAAGATTATAGATCGAACACGATACAATCATAAAGAAAGTTTCACATCATATTTGGGGGGTTTTTTTTTTTAACGAAACGGAGGTGCCTGGAATTCTAAAATTGACTATCTTGTCTTGTTGGAGGCTTGACAATTGTCCCAGATATTATCAACATTTGTTCAATGAGTTTATATATAGTAGATCGTTATAAATGCATCATTTTCTGATATATGGAAATTGCGAGAGTTTCAACTGTAATTGTGGTCTATTTAACGAGGTAATAATAATCAATTTTGACCGAGTGTTCCGATTCTGAAATGCTTTCATAATCTCAAGACTCTCAATATTATGATCACCCTTATATAGTTGGACTGTTGGAGGGATACAGTTCAAATTTTTTTTAAAAAAAAACATATTACTGCAATAAATTGAAAATAATCATCTAAATGTTGAGCGGTATATACAATTGAAAAAGAAATTTAAGAACTATTCGAATGTATGTGTTGGTTGAAAAATACTCCCTCCGGTCCTTAATATAAGGCATTTTTAATCGGAAAAAAAAATTTAAAAAAAATATTTTCACATTCGTTGTATTCTCTTGATTGTTAAGAAATAATTTTAAATTTTTTTTAATTAAAAATACATACTAGGTGAATCATAGGACAAATCAAAATATCTTATATTAAGGACCGAATGGAATAATATGTAGTCTAAATATAACAGTAATAATACGACTATCAATTTTAGTTTGCTTTCACGGAACAATGACAAATGATTGAGTTGGATTGTTTAATATCCCTAGTCCCTCCGGTTCTTAACATAAGGCATTTTGATTTTGTCATATATTTCACCTAATATGTATTTTTAATTGACGAAAAAATCTTAAAAATATATTTTTGATCAACTAAAAATATTACATACTAGGTTAAATTTATGACAAATCAAAATGGTTTATATTAAGTACAAGACGGAGGGAGTAGTACCGAATTGAGCTTGTGAATGAAGAAAAAGCTTGACAATTCAACATTCCTTTCGTGGTGGTCTTAACTATTTGCAAACCACTTTGGACATCGCGCGATCCCATCAACAACATGTTCCAGCAAATTAATGAAAAACTTCAAGCACATATGTAAAGCGCTGTGATATTCCCAAAATGTATGGTTCACACATTGTTTTGGTTGAACACTTATGTGATCAATTTCTCTCAATTTGCTTCGTCTGGGATTTAAAGTGTACCAAATCTTAACAACGGTATTCAATTACTGTGGATGATTAGAATTAATATATAGATCGTGAAAGCTGTCATTTTCTTCTAGATTGAAAATGAGAGAATGACTCATCTTTTAGCTGAAATTGTGATCTATTTAATGAAGTTTTGACCCTATCGTCAATGGCGCTCTCAGTGTTTGGATTCGGCGTTGCTTTTAATTTCTCAGTCATTACCATCAACCTAATAATATGGTTGAAAGGGGTACAGTTACGATGTTTTGGAAACATAATACAGTGCTAGTTGGGGTTATAATCACGTAGTAAACAAATTCAGTTCGCATTGACGAAAGAAAATCAAAAACAAAATTGATAAATGATAACTCTACAAATCTTCTACTGGGTACTGTAGAGTGTAGATTACTCCCTCCATTTCAATTTGCAAGTCGTTTTAGGTTTGAAGAGATTTTTCAAAATGTAAGTCATTTTATAAATTCTAGGCAAATTAATAATTATTTTTTAAACTTTACTCTCAATAAATGATGTTAATATATTTTCATTTAGTCTTGTTTATAGTTTCAATGTAATTAATGAGGGATAAAATATATATTTAACATATAAATTAAATATTGGATGATTATCTTTTTAATTTACATGTAAAATCTAAAATGACTTACATTTTGAAATGGGAGAAATAATATTGCCACCAACTAAAATGAAAAGCCACGTTACACTAGTACACAGTACAACCGACAAAACTTTTAATGTGGCCAAAATAATACTACTACTTTGAATTTCGATTTACAACATATATATATATATATATATATAAATTCTTTCTTAAAGGGATAATCTCTAAACATGTATGCATTTGGCATTTTCGACGGAAAATCGTGTTTGAGTTTGTCATTCCATCGTAGAAAGGATAGTCTGCTTAATCAAATAGAGTAAATTAGCTATGTTAATACTCTCTTCATTCCATTAAAAAAAAAAAACTCTTTTTGAAAAAAAAACAAAAAAATAATTTTAATAAGTCATCTCTTTCATCCAAAAAAATTAATCCATATCAAGTTATTACGTGGATTTTTTTATTGGGGACAGAGATGGTATTTTTTAAGCATCACTTTGGTTCATTTATTGAGTGTTCGAACGTAGGACTGTAGGAGCTAGGGCATCAATGCAAATCGGTGTATCCTCAATTATATATGTAGGACCTTGATTTCATTTGAGGACCATTAAGATATTGCGAAAGTTCTCTAAAAAAAATGCTGTCAAAACTCAAAACTATGCTGAATTTATTTTTTTATTATTATTATTATTATTATTACTATAAATATAGTTTCCATCAAGAGTAACAGTAACTTATTTAGCTTCCTAGCATTCATCTTGATAATGTTTTTTTTTCCTTCTCAAAAATAAATTGCATTTATATTATTCCTTTCAATACAAAATAATATTGACGCAACATAAACATTTTGCTATTGTATGATTCAAGAAAACTAAAGTCGTAGGTATTCCACGAGTTGTATTCATTTTTTTCCTATTTATTTACCTACAAAACAGAGTTTGTATTTTCTTTCTTTTTCTTACAAATATTTTATACTCTTTCTGGCCCAAAATTATTATCTAGTTTGAATTTTTATTTTTAACACAATTCGAATTTAAAAATAAAAATCTAAATTAGACAATAATTTCGGACCATCAAATGGAGAACTTGGAAAGTAAGTGCTAAAAGCAGATCAAGAAATGACTTGCATCATGTTAAAGTTATATTTTGTGTAATGAGTACTAATTTACATACTTGGTATAGGCAATTTGCAACTGTTCGCGAGTTCAATTTAACAGACCAGTGAATTCAAACTCCATCGTTCTACAAATTATAAAATTATTTCAAATGCAAAAAAAAGAAAAAAGAAAAAGAACTCACATCAAACGTACATCAGATGAATTAACGTACAAAACATCATTAATTCAACGATATTTCATAATTGGGAAAGACACATCATAGCTTTAGTTTGAATATCGATGTCAAACCACGACAGAACTCAAGCTTTAAACAACAAATTACTAGAATAATTCAAAGAAGCGCATACGGTATATATAAATGCTTTTTATTCGATTCATCAATGTTGTCAATTTCAGTTTCCTATTATGGAAGAAACGCAGTACTCCTTTGTAAAGTATCATAGTACAAACATTAATAATTGTTATAACGAAGTATTGTAATATTTAGTATATTTTCTATTATGTCCTAGTTTAGGGTTTGTTATTGTCTATATATAGTCTGTATATTGTGCACAACATATTATGAATACAATACAATTTCCCTATTCTAAGTTGGTATCGAGCTAGGTTTAAAACAACCCAAAATTTTTTTTTTTCTCTTTTTCTCTCCTTTCTTTTCTCTTCCCCGCCGCCGACTGGTTTTTTTTTTTTCTTTTTCCTTTGGCCGTGGCACAGCCGCCACGCACAGGCTCTTGTCTCCCGTTCTTTGCCGCTTTCGCCGCTCCTTGCCGGTGTTCTTCTTGCCGTTTTTTCTTCTTCTGGTTCGTCGTCGGCGTGCCTTTCGCATTGTTTTCGCCCGATCTCGACGCTCGTTGTTCGCGGCAGCAGCTCCCCCGCTTGCTTCTCTCTCTGCAGCTCGCTTTCTCCGCCGTCTCGCTTTCTCCGCCGCTCGCTTGCTTCCTCTCGCTCTTCTTCTGCTTGCTGCTGCTTTTTTTTTTTCATTGCTGCCATG